TCTCTTGCTTCTGCTGCTTTTCTGAGGCTTGGACCCTGGCCCATCAGAAAAAGAGCCTGCCAAGCCCAGCTGCCCATGCCTGAGCTGTGTTGTGGGAATTAGAGGAGACTCGGGTGCAGAAATGTTGTGGGTCTCTAACCTCAGGTGGTGACCAGTCACGGACTAACAGTTAGCTTTCCAGATAAACCAAACCCCAGACCAGACGTCATCAAGTTGGTTCTGAGTCTCAGGGACCCCGTGTGGGTCAGAGTGGAATGTGCTCCACGGGGTTTTCAGGAGCTGTTTTTTTGAAGAGTAGATCACCAGGCCTTTCTTCAGAGGTGCCTCTGGGTGGGACTTGAACCTGGAGCCTTTCAGTTAGTAGCTGACACTTAACCGTTTGCACCACCCAGGACCTCTGACTTCCCAGAGGGGCTGGCAATGTTAGTGAAAGGACTGCTTTCTGAGTTCCATGGTTCTGGGGGCTGGGGGCAGCAGGCCCCCTCCATCGTGATCCAGGAGGCACATGTCCAGGGATACTTCTTGGTGCCAAGCAAAGCTGTGAAATCTGTCCACACACTTTGGATCCCAGGGTCCCACCAGCGCCCCATGAGATTCTGCATTCTGGGAGGTTACTGGTAACCCCCGAACGTCTTTCTAGGGCTGTCCGGAGCCATCTGCTCCTGGGGTGCTGAGCTGGAGGAACCCTTAGCCTGAAGCATCTGTGAGTGCACCTTCTGCTCTCTCTGAACCTGAACTTGACTCTTCCCGAGGGCAGTGATGAGAGGCTCCTTTCAGCAGCGCCTCATTAAGGCGTCTTATTTTGTGTTCTCAGGACCCACCTCATTCACACAGTAGTGAAAAGCTCTCTTGGAAATCAGCAGACTGAATGGGACTTCATTTCCTATGCAGAGTGCAGGCCACATGGTCTACCTGCCAATCGGAAAGAGAATGGCGCCACTATGTTATGTTTTGGGATGAGAGGGAGGGTGTTGGCCTGCGTTTCTCAGGACACAGCCCTGTGGTGTCATGAAATGCTCCTTAATTCAGTTGTCGTGTTTTGTTGGGGTCTGAGGCCTGAACGAGGCCTTGGCAGCAGTGTTTATGGCTCTCTGTAAAAGCTTTCAGACAAAATTTGTATGGCATTTTGCTTGAGTTATGGTGGGACAGGCGTTCAAACCTCATCCTGCTCCTTCAGATAAAATGGACGCTTTGGCCACGATAAAGAAGAGAGAAGGCACCGCTTTAACTGCCTTGTAAATCAGGTTTTTTTTCAAGGAGTCAAATACCCACAGAAAAGATAAAAAAAAGAAAAGAAAAGAAAAGAAAAGAAACCCAATAAAGCCGTCCACCGCAGAACAAAGCCCATCCCAGCATAGTTTGCATTGATTTGAACCTCCTTTTGCACGTCAGGAAGTCACTCAGAATTTCAGCCTTTCCTTAGGCTTCCCCTAAATCTCACACGAAGGTGATATTTGGACCTTTCATCTCCAAATCTGGTGGGCTCCATGCCTGCACAGCCAGCCCAAGGGAATCGCCAGACTGTGCCAGGCGCATACGCCACCGACCACTGTCCTAGTTGCCAATTAATTCATGGCCAAGTTCACCTGGGATTGAACTTCCTGATATGAGAGGGGAAAGAAACCAACAAAAAACTAATTTAAATCTCACTCCCATGGCTAGGCTATGTCAAAATAGAAACTGCCCCTTGGTGGCGACCGCTGCTGGAAGTTCCTGTAGGTGATGCTAATTCTTCAGAGTCATTTCTCTGTCCTCTGTCTGTCACCCAGATCTTAAGCATCTGTACTGACACATTCAGGAGAAACTTGGGTCTGTGTTACAGAAATGAATATCTCGTGTGTACGTGTCCATTTGTGTGTGTGGAGACTGGCGTATGCATCTCTCAGATATGGGCTAATTTACGCCATTGCGATGTCTGCTTTTACTTACCATGTTCTGAGTTTCTGTTGGTACGACGTACGTGTTGAAGTGATGACTTTGATGGCAATTCATTATCACAGACACGTTGCTGCGCTCAGGCTGGCTTGGCCTCTTGGCAGCCCCACGCATAATACAGTCACACAGCGCCCCCCTGCACCTCTTCACGATTGTTGGCCTGCTCAGGTGTGGCCACTGTGTGTTTCCAGTACCGTATCCGACGCTGTTCTGTTGTGATCCATGAGGGTTTTGTTGGCTTGTTTTTGGACACAGATTTCCAGGTCTTTCTTCCCAGTCTTCCTAATCGCGGTCTGGAAACATCCACCGTGGGTGGCCCTGCTGGTGTGTGGAATACCAGTGGCATTGCTTCCAGTGCGTCACAGCACACACGTCACCGCAGTACAAGGACCTGCAGACGGGTGGTGGACTGCCTCCACAGACCGGCTGTAATGATGAGTTTTTAGGTTGCTTCCAGTGTGTTTCTGTTATAAATCATGCTTGTGTTGAACACACGTCCACACTGCTCTCCTTCCTGAACTCTTATTTCCCTAGAACAGGTTCCTGGGTGGAGAATCTCTGGGATGGGCATTTTAAGGGTCTTGATGTTCAGTTTCCCAACTGCTTCCTGTGTGTTAGCATGGCCTTTTCCAAACCCGGCCAGCTCTTTGGGGCAGAAACTGAGTCTGAGTTGCCCTGAGGTGTCCCTCTACAGCATTGTGCTGGAAATGTGGTAAATGAGTCAGATACAGAGTTAAATAAATCACCAGATGAATGAATCAGTGAGTGAGCACTCCCGCCCCCTTTCTCCAGCAAGGAACCCAACATGGGACCAGCCGTACTGATGGCACTTTCTAAACATCTTCTTGAAAGAAAGGATGCATCACCTCTATGTGGTTGTGCATTTTTCACCGTCTCCTAATTACAATTTTGTCACCCTCTGAGAATGGAAAGCTCACCAAAGATAGCTAGGAAAAGGCCGCCAAATTCTGAAAGCAACAGAAAACTACGTTTTGTGGAATTTGCAGCAAGCTTAGGAAAAGTAGGTGCTGGAGTCAGGGTCGATGGGGCGGCAGTTACTTGCTGTCTCATCTCACAGTCAGACTCCATCTCTTCCTGAGCCGGTGGGGAAAATCCAACCAGGGCTGCCGGTGGATTTTGGGGCAGGTTCCCAGCCTTCTCAACCTACTTTTTTGGCTCCCTGTTGGCTGTCGGCCAAAGTTTGAAAACGCCTGTTGAGTCTTTGCTCTCTGTGGTACTCCATTTGGGAGAAACACATTAAGAGTATGTATTTTTAAGATTAAGAAAATAATGCGTGGTGGCTCTAAGTCAAAAAGAGAGATGGAAGCATAGATGGTAAGAAGCTAATCTTCCTGGTGGGTTCTGTAACCACAAGTTTCAGCATACACATTTACAGACACATCTGTAGAATTTTAAAAATGACCCAACTAGTATCATACGTGGCATATTTATACTTAGCTTTGTAATTTGCAATATGCTTAATAATGTGTTGTGGACATCTATTCAACTATGTACGTATAGCCCTATCTTGTTTTTCACAGCATCCTATAATTCTACTGTAAAAATGTATAGGTTATCCAGCCTCCTGTTGGTGAAACTTCAGTATGAATTAAAATAATAATAATGCTTGTTGTTAGTAGCAGGTAAATAATGATTGAACATCCGTATGTACCAGGCATCATTTGAGGAGATTCGTGTTTATTAACTCATTAGTCATTATGGGCCCAATAAGGTAACATTTATTTGTATCTTACTTTGTCTATGAGTTGGAACAGACTCTATAGCAATGGGTTTTGTTTGTTTTTTTTTGTACATGAGAGCAGGAGAAAGACGAGACAGTCTGCTTCTGTAAAGATTGCAGTCTTGGAAACCCTATGGGGCAGTTGTACTGTGGGGTCGCTATGAGTTGGAATTGATTCAGTGGCCACGGGTTTGTATATGAGGCCATTTGAGGCCTAGGGAGGTTGAGAACCTTGCTCACAGTTGCTCAGTTTAAAGCCAGCAGAGCCAGGTTCAAGTCCAGGCATCTGAGTCTAGTGCCTGTCCTTTTTATTTTTTCTTTTTAATTTTGTTGTTGTTGAGAACACACAAAGCAAAGTGTTCAATGGTTTCTACCGGCTCATTCAGTGACACTCACTACACTCGTGGAATTGTGCAACCCTTGTCGTCCTCCTCTCAGGGCTTCCTCCCGCATTGACGTCAATACACAGCCCCCTAAGCATCCTGTCTCTTTTTTCAAGTTGCTGTTGTCAGTCTGATCCCAGGTAGCAGTGCCTCTGCTCGTAAGTGTGTCTGCAACTCTAGCTGAGGCTGTAGTGAGCATCCTTGCAGATCAGTTTTCATGCATCTTCCCTAGTGGTTCTGAAGAGGAGAGAAACGTTTAGAACGGGAGTGCTGGCTCCCAGCTTCACCCTCATTTCGGGAAGAACGATGGGGAGGTCTAAAAGTCCCTATGAAGAGTTTTCCCAAGCACCCAGCACAGATGCGAGTGATGGCCATAAGCAGACATGTCAAAGCAGTTAAGCCTGGTTGTGTTGTCGGGCGCTGCCAAGTTGATTTTGATGCACAGCAACCTTATAGAACAGAGTGGGACTGCCCCATAGGGCTGCATACCAAAACCAAACTCACTGCTGTGGAGTTGGATCTGACTCATAGCGACACCTCCTTGGGTTTCCGAGGCAGTATCACTATGGTGGGTTTGAACCTCCAGCCTTCTGGTTAGCAGTCAGATGCTTTATGCACTATGCCACCATAAAGCATTAACAGACCCTATTTAAAAAAAAAAAAGAAAAAAAACAACCCACTACCACTGAGTCAATTCCAGGTCAAAGCAACCCCCACTAGGTTTCCAAGGGGGTAGGTTAATCTTTATGGAAGTAGATGGCCTCATCTTCCTTCCACAGAGCAGCTGGTGGGTTTGAACCTTCTGGTTAGCAGGCAAATGACTTAGGCACTGTGTCTCCAGAGTTCCTTAACAGACCCGATAGGAAGGGGCAGTGCCTGCATGGTGGGCTTGGCTCTGTGTCAACCTGCTGTCTGCAGGGTGATTAACAACAGAGATGACCATGGTTCTCTGGGCTAAGCTTTGGAGAGAGGAGCAGGCAGTGTTTTCCTTCCAGAGAGGTAATTCTTCATCCCTTGGCCCCTCTGATTGGTGGTAGATGGGACTCCTTCCCTCTCTGCATTGGTTCTTTGGGAAGATCTGAAGAACGCCTTGTGTAACTGCAGGACTTTCACTGTGATGAGGCCGGGTGGGATGGTGCCGTGAGTGGGTGGTTGGTTGGTAGGGGGTGCGGGCTGGAGGCTGGCTGCGTCTGTTTCATTTCCTGTCTGAGCTCGGCTTTGACTCCCTTCGCTTTCCTCTCCTGCAGAGTCGCAGAGCCGAGGAGCGGACAGCCTGCACAGGTTCTCCTCGCTTCCCACTTACCTCCCCGCGAGCTTCCGCCTCGAGAGCGCAGAGCAGGCCTTCTTCCTTAAGGAGGCCAACCAGGACCTCACGAGGAACTCCAGTCTGCAGACCCGGGCCGAGGCCTTCTTCATCTACCGCACCAGGACCCCCCCCCTCGTCAACGCCAGCTACGGCCCCTTTGCAGTGGACAAGACCATCCCCCAGGAGCTCCTGTTGACCTCCACACCCTTTGGCAAGTTGGAGAAGTTTCCTTTCAACTGGAAGCTGAAATCCCACATCCTTGACAGCTCCATCTACTCCAACAGACCCAAAGTGCAGACCTTGTTTTACATCACAGGAATGGACTGGGACACTGGCAACCCTGTGGACAGCCTGCCCTGTGTCAAGATGTTTGCCTTTCCCGAGGCCAGGGAAGTGGCGGCCAGCTGCCGGCTGCAGGGGGACCCGGGGCTGTGCGTGGCTGAGCTGCAGCTGCTACCCGAGTGGTTCAGCTCTGGCCTGGACCTGGAGCCTGAGGAGGAGGTGCCGGCCCTGCTGGGCGGCACCGCCATGGAGCTCTTCTTCACGGTGTACCCGGCTGACGAGGCTGGAGAGTGCCCCCTGGAGGAGGATAGGAAGTGGGAGAACAACATCCACGCGGGCCAGGAGGGCCCCCAGCCGGCACTCCCCGCCCGGGAGAGGATTGGGAGCGTCGTGGTCTACCCAACCCAGGACGACCTGAGGTGGTCCCTGGTGAGCCTGGATGAGAACGTAGTCATCTCGGTGCCTCTGAACCTTGTCCGCGAAGGGGACACAGCCACCTTCCTAGTGTCTCTGACCAGTGGGTCTATGGCAGAGCAGTTCACTCTCAGGTAAGACGCTTTGTTGGGTGGATGCACTGAACTCATCTCGTGGTCATCAATGAATAGAACGGATGTTGGTCATTTGTTGAATGTCCAGTGTACTTAGGAGACTTACGAACAGGAAATAGAGACCAATGCAAGGCAACAGAGCAGGGGCCAGAAAGCTTTTCCCTGAAAGGGCAGGTAGTCAAGAGGCATTGTGGGCTGGACGGCCTTTGCTGCGGCTAGTCAACTCTGTGGTTGTTGCCTGGAAGCAGCCACAGACTGTATATAAACGAATGGGGGTGCCTGTGTGCCAATAAAACTTTATTTACAAAAACAGGCAGAGGACTGACTTGGACCCATGGACTGTAGTTTGCTGACCCCTGCCATAGATGATCAAGTTTGAGTGGAGTAGTAGAGATCCCAGTGGCTCAGGGATGGGAGGTGTGTGCTTTGGGATGGGCACCCGTGTTTTCATCTTGAACTGGGTCTTGAAAGGGGAATGGCACTTGGATTCACTGGGGATGAGGAAGGTAGGATTCAAAGTGGGGAACAGAGACCAGTCAGAAAACAGAAACCACACTAGGTATGTTAAGAGCAAGAATTCAAAATGAACAATTACTAACTACATATGAAGGAGTGTTAGCTAGTGATGTACTGAGATACTGAGGGAGTAGCAAATACTGACAGCCACTGTTCCTCCCTCA